AAAAATTACTATAGTACCCTAGAAATCGTAAGGAATGATCATACTTACTTCGATAATATAAATTATGATAATATTGAAATATTATTAAACATATTTCTATTTTTGCGTGAATGCTTACGATTGTTAGTTGTTGGTTATTGTTATCTATTTGATGAGAGTTTTTAATGTTATGCATACCATGAGAAAAAAAACATTATTAAATTCCCGATTTTTTTTGTAACATTACTGGAGTTGCTATTCATTTCAGACGCCTGGTATATATTATTGTTTTCTATATATTACTCTCGTGCGACAACACTGAAACGCAGGATAAACTTTCAATAGTTACTCGATCCAATTTCAACCATTCTAAATGATTTCTGAAGCAAATTCAAGCCAAATAACGTAATTTATATATGTTTTATATAGGATAATAGGAGAATTGTATTACCATTTTGTAATGTCAATTTCCTTGGTGTTTTCTTCAGGATGATGTTCTCTTTCTTTACATTCATACTGAAAATATACATCTCGACCAAAATTACCTCTGAATGAAACGCATTTTGCGGTCACCTCATCTAATTCCTCAATACGGTGAATGAAGTTTCATATAAATATATAAATGTTAAAATGATGATATCTATACATACATAATAATATATGAATATATAAACAGAACTCTTTCGCAAATAATAATTGAGAACCTCAGTAGTGGTCAGTAGAGTCACAAAGATAATGGCAGAAATTAAAATGTCCTATGATCAGACATATTTAAGGTAAGAGGATTCAAGAGTATGAATTTTTTAATGTATTTAAAAGAAAGGAAAAAAAACAAATTTTATTAAATAACAGCATGCTTCTAGAATGGAGCGATATTACGAGAACTGAATTGTGTACACGATTGTAATCAATGTAAACTTAATGCTTTTGCCATATTTCTTTGAACTATCATAGAAATGGTACGATGCTCAAATTGTATGTAGTAACGTTTTACTTAGTAACAGTGTCCTAGAATGAAAGAATGCGGTGCGTTGTAAACTTTCTGTACAATCAAGTGCATTAAAGTAAACGAGGGAGAGAAATTTTACTTTACACAAATATATATTTTTCGTTCTCATTTGGTACTTACAAAATTCTACATTATATATATGTGTCTAATTGTTTAGATATGTAATAGTACGCAGCCATGGTCTATATTTTATACTTTTATATTTTTCGTGTACTAAAACGGGGAAGAATGTTATTATTGCATTGAAATTTTTATGATATTCAATTGTAGTTCCATGGTAGTACTGAAAAGATTCCACGCACCCATTCTATATAGATCAGTACAAATAAGTTTAATATTAATAGTAATAACGAATAAAAATAATTGTTTAACCTTACCGAATGTGTAAGGTACATCCCACTTAAAACAGTAGCAATTGTCCTACTAAATACTGTACCTTTGATGAACTAAGCTAAAAAGCCAGAGTACTAAAAGAAAAAAAAAGAAATCCTTCTGTGTGTATAAATGTCATAAACTTTTATGTATCAATGAATGCTATATATATATATTAATAACAAATTAACTCACACGACTGCCATTACAATTAACTATTTTTTGGAATATTAGCATGGCCCAATATTCCATGTTTCATCTTTCTTCCTTCACGTTGAAAAAGAAGAAGTCTTACGAAATTGTTGTACCATTTTATTGAGTAGATTTTTATAATTTTGATTGTAAATCAATGAATCACCATTGCGCAAGACTTGTAATTTTAAGAATTTTAATAGACAGGAAGTTTATGATCAATATTCGAAAACACAGAAATCATAAATTAATATATCAATAGCTCTCTAACGTGATATTCCATTTCAGATAATTATTGTATTAACAGCTTAAAGGTATTTGTGAATATCAATTTTATTTCGTATATCGATAAAGCAATTTACAGTATCAAAATCGGGGATGTTAAATTGTTTCATGTTGTTTTCAATGTGTTGTTTGAAATTGATACTAATTCATCTTATCGCTTAGTAATTAAATAACACTATGGTTGTGCTCGATAATTAAAGCAATGTCTTTATGTGCATATACGAACGCGAACACGTATGTACATAATGTTGCATATTTTGTTTGTACACCATGTGCAACATGCATGTACGTATATCTTTGCAGTTCAATTTACTGTCTTTAAGCTGTAGCCATCGTTTTTCAACTTGTTAAAGCGATGATTAATTCGCGTATCTGCTAAACTTTTGTTTACTAAACGTATGTATATCTATATGTATACGTTTACGATTGTGTACATACGTGCATACATATGAATTATTACTACATTATTAAGATACGCTTTTGTATGTGTAAACATAACACTGTTTCAGGTAATGGCACATAAAAACGTATTGGAATGTGAAGAATTCTACATTGGATTGGTAACTGTTTTATAACGAATAAGAGTAATATATTCACAAAAGGATGCGTAATGATGATGATGACGATGATAATGATGATGGATATATAAATTATATAAACATAGAAAAGAAAGAATGTAAGAGAGAATGTGACAGTGACAGAGCGAGGTTGTTAGTGGAAAAGATGCGAACAAGTCATATTATGAATGTACTTGCAAAATAATATGGCTAATAACAATCCTTGAGTAAAGAAATATAATGTACGGTCTTGCGCCAAGAGATAAATCGTCTATTCTGACTTATCTAAATATAATATTTTTATGAAGCGAAATATTTGTTTGATTTATTATGCACCCATTTTTATAAAGTTTGAACAATCGTTCATAATACTATCAGTATAAAAACTGATATAATTTATAAATGACAGAAATAATTCCTAATAAAAAGATAAATCACGAGCAATACTTATGAAAACATTTTTATTCGTGATGGGCATTATACAGAGTATGTTTCAGACGTAATTGTTATTCACGGACATTCTTGATGTTAACAATAATTAGATATATATTTTGATATTTCCATCGCTGCAGACTTCTTTCTCCATCTTCCATTTTTCGAATCATAAATTAAATACGCCAATAAACGTTGATTAAAAAAAAAATAATAGAAAATAATATTACAAACACCACAGCGAAATCAGACACAGATGATACGTTGAAGGGATAATGTGCCTTATATTTTTCCCTTCAGTTGCACTGTATGTACATTTATCATTTTTTTTTTTCTTTTTTCTGATACTGTCATCAATTGTTTAAACCAATAAGTTAATTCCATCGTAAAATGAGTTTGGAAGTAAAATCGTGTTTTTCTTTAACTAAATTTCACCATTTTTTAGTATGTGTACAGTCTTGATTCGAGTTTATCTGAAAAAACGTACAAAAATAAATTAAATTTACTTTTGTCATGTAATTCATTAATGTGTTTAATAATTAAATATTTTGTTAGAGTGTCTGGCGATACAATAGCCGCTATGTCGAAAAAGCGTATCAAAGCGGGAATCTAGTTACCAACTTTATCTTACATGATTGTGCAATGCCTAATACAAGTAATCTAAGTACAAGGCATGAATTTACATGTACATATTTAATTTTGTGTTTGTATATTATTAATTAACATGCTATACTATCAAACAGTACTACAATTGGCATGCAAATAACAAATATAAAACTCACAATATTTTTTCTACAGTTTCTTGAATACCTAAAATTATTTAGAACTTTTGTTCTTCAAGACCATGCTTGAAAAACATAAGTACAGGCACAGATTCACCATCAATGTCACGGTACTCCATTAATGCAATAATGCCATCAACATCCATAGATTCGCCGGTGAAAAATTGCAGGTCCTTAAAACGACTTAATATGTCTTTCATTACTTTATTGGTGTTTGTTTTGAATACTTCCACTTGATCAGGAGAGGTCTCTTCCAACTTTGCTACTAGACTGATAAAAATATGATAATTAGTAAAATTATTCTGTGATAGTATTTTAAAAAAAAATTAAATATTTACCTTTTCATATAATTCTTCAAATATGAGGTATACTGTTTTTTGTCTGCAAATATAAAAGTTTCTTGAAGCCTATGATTCATTACTACATCAACACCACTCTGCACTACTTCTTCTGTTGTTTCAGAAGGTTCATCAGCAAGTGGATTAAATCCAGCAATATCGATGTCACCTGATTTACGAGTGATCAGCTAATGATAAAAAAGGAAATATCACTCAGACTTCCAATACTAAAATCTTGAAATGTATTATTTTCATATAATTTTAAAATAATATACATATGTACCTTGCCATATACTTCATACAGAACATCATCCACCAATTTTATTTTGTAGCTGTCTGAGAACATCTCATCACCTATAATAAAATAATTAAGTTAAATAATAAATTTTAAAGCTGTAAAATGAAGTATGTAATTCCATAATTTGTTTTAGAATTTAACCTCGTAAACTTTAAATCAAATTTTGATAAATTGTTTAATTTATGATTAAACATTTTTAATTTCTATAAACCGGTATTCTGGGATTGTAAATTTTCGGTGTTGGGATAGTATTTTAGTTTAGTTCACATTGTTTGTCTTAATTTCTATAAATAAGTGTTTATTTATTTCATTATTGCTAAAGAGTCATTTCGAACATATGGAGAGGTTATAAACTAAAATAATAAATATTTAAACAGTGCAGCACTTCTATAATACTATAAGATATGCATATATTTTTATGCGTTTAAACTATTAAAATTATAGTGATGTGATATTTTATAGTTATTACTGTCGAAGTTTCGGTCCGCATGATAGAAACGTCACTGTAAAATCGTCTCTGACTAAGCATATTTTATTTCCTAATATAACAAAAAATTAGAAAAATATTAATTGTACATGTTATTTAAGGATATTCTAAATTTACATACCAGTGAAAATATCCTTGTAGACCTTCATATTTGAAGATGGAGAAAGATTTAATTGCAGCTAAACTAAATAAGGCTCAGTCACCCTAAAAGAGCGAACCGGAAGGGAGCGTAATATTCGAAGAAGCAGCCAACTTCGCTGCATTCTTCTACCTCTGCATACTTACCAACATTAGCAGCTAAAATTATTATACATTAAATTTAAATATATTTCATTATTTTATGCACGTAAATAAATAGATTTGTTAATTATTTACATATGTATTTTATTACAATTAGGGATATGCAGTCCATAATAATATATGCTATATTCTTTCAATTTTCAGAAGATAAAGTTCCTCTCTTGTAATGGATACATATCAAGATATATA